AAAGTCTAACTTCTTTGTACATATATTTTACAGATTAAAGGATTTACCTGAAGACAAAGCATTCTATTCATCAGAGACTGGACAAGAGCTGCGGTGGTGCACACCAACAGTCCCAGCTTCTCAGGAGGCTGAGGCAGAATTACTTGGAGCTCGGGAGTTTAAGGCTGCAATGAGCTGTGATCGCTCCACTGCACTCCAGCCTGGGTGACAGAGCGAGACCCTGTCTCTTAAAAAAAGAAAGAATGACTTTGGAAGCAGGTTTACCCCCAGAGCCTCCAGATGAGAACTCAGCCCAGCTGAAAACCTGGGTTCAGCCTTGAAATACTAAGAACTGTGAGCTAATAAATGAGAGTTGTTTTAAGCTGTCGAGTTTATGGTAACTTGTCACAATGCCATGTGAAGCTAATACACACGCACAGAAGTGTAGACCCCTGGGCCCATGCCTAGGAACTCAGCCCTGGGAAAGAGCAGGAAGGCCGGAGAAGCCCAAAAAGTTGTTCCCAACAGAGCAACCATGTCTTCCGTGTTGGTCCCCGCAGCTGTTGATGGGATGGTCAGTGTCCTTCAAACAGACTCCGGTTTCCAGTTCCGGGTGCTGGCATCAAGAGCAGTGTCCTCCAGAGCCTTCTCACGTGGATGGGACTGCCATGCCTCAGGCTCACTGTGACCTTGCACATATTCTGTGTGTGCCCCTGTGTCCTCATCCGGACCACAGGGACCAGCTGTGTGGGAAGCCCCTGGCATGGTGCTAGCTACGCAATTGGCTCACACAGTTGGTGTGCCCTGGTAGGAGGAGCACACAGAAGGTGTACTGAATGTTTGCCCCCATATGCTGCCAGGCTTCGGAGCAGATTTTGACTTCTCACCAAGACCAACTATAGGTTCATGAACAGCCACCTCAAAGATGGTTTTCCTAAACTGTGACTTTATAGATCAGACCTCTATGCTGACCTCCAGAAGCTAGCCCCGGCTCTTCCTAGGAGGGGCCCTGCAGGGCACTGAGTCATTCCACAGACTCTGCCAAGCACCTCCTATATGCCAGGCTGGGAACACATCAGCCATAAGAGGGCAAGGGTGGATATACAGAAGTTCCTGATAGCCCGGGGCCCGGAGGAGCACTCCTATAGCAACTGGCAATGAGCAGGCACCTATTCGAAGACTCGGACTTCTCATCCATCTGCGGGGCAGCCTTCTCTGGCCGCTGCTCTCAGGACATGGGGTGTGGGAGGCAAAGGGTCTTGGCAGGCTTTGGGCAATTTACTAACTACCCTGTGCTTAGTTTCCTCACATGTGAAGTGTAATGAAAGGACCTATCTCAGACATTGCCAGGAGGACAAATGTGTCGGTGGGTGCAGGGTGGTTCTGACCCCCGTGCTTGGTGGCTATTCACAAGTGTGTGTGCCCAGGTCTCCTTATCTTCTCCAACCCCCTGCTGAGTGTCTGCGATAAATGCTGTACAATTCCTTCACCTGAATAGGTGTGTGGGGATGGGTGCCAGCATGTGCCAGGGGCTTGCTTCCCCGAGCGTGATCTCACACACGAGCATGGGCACACATGTGACACGCGCATGTGCCATCGGTGGGAAAGCATCTGGACATTGATGTTGCCTGCTGGCCATGGGCTGTCGCTGCAGCATCAACTTCCTCCTAGTGTCTTTTGGGACTGCTGAGGTCACCTGAGACATCTCTGATGGCCGGGCTGGCCACACAGAGCCGTGTGGACCTCTCTCTTGGAATCCCCCACTGACTGTCAGCTAGTGCTGGGTTGTGAGGACTCAGAAGAGCCTCCCCTGACCAGTGGGGTACACTGATTGGAACAGCGGCTGGACTGAGGGGAGGGTAAGGAGAGGAGGTGGTGAGGGCTTGCCCAGCAGACAGGGCCTGGGCAAGGGGTAGCCATTGTTAACGAACCCACAACGGGGGTTTGCTGTTGCTCACCACACAGAAAGCCAATTACTGAGACAGCAAGGATTGCCAAGGAAGAAACCATTTATTACAGCGGGATTCCAGACCACCAGGGTTGGGGGGTTTTCTGGAGGTGAAATGAGTAATGCATGAGAGAAGGGACCATCACTACGTGTTTGGGGCGGAGTACGGAGCATGCAAGCACGGTGAGGAATGATGCTAGCACATACATCCCATGATCAAAAAATGGCGGATAAGTCCCTCCGGGGGTGCGGATTTTAGTATTATAATGAGCCAGGGGTTAACACTGGTCATTCTCTCAGCCTTGTGTGCAGGCTCAGTGTGTCCTTGGGTACAATCTGTGGTGGGTGTCACTTATCTTGTCTCTTCCAGACAAACTGGTGGTGTGAGGCTTTGCAGTTATCTCGTGACTACAAGGAGGCCCCGCCACTTCTGGGAAAGAAACTCAAAAGGGATTGCGTCAGTGCAACAGAAAGTTACACAGTTTGGTCCGTAAATTTTAGTGGCCTGCGAGCTTGAAACATAAGAGAACTACAAAATAAAGAACAACAAAAAAACAATAAAAAACGTTTTTTTGCTTATGGAGTTGGTGACACCATTTGCAGAGTTTAAGGAAAGCAGTCTGCTCAGACTCAAAAGATGCCTCTGGGCTAGGCGTGGTGGCTCACACCTGTAATCCCAGCACTCTGGGAGACCCAGGCAGGAGGATCCCCGGAGCTCAGGAGTTCGGGACCCATCTCTACTAAAAATAGAAAGAAATTAGCTGGGACAACTAAAAACAGAAGAAAAAAAATTAGCTGGGCGTGCTGGTGCGTGCCTGTAGTCCCAGCTACTCGGGAGGCTGAGGCAAGAGGATCTCTTGAGCCCAGGAGTTTGTTTGATGTTGCTGTGAGCTAGGCTGACACACAGCACTCCAGCCTGGGCAACAGAGTGAGACTCTGTCTCAAAAAAAAAAAAGAAAAAAGATGCCTCTGGGTGTTTGGAGAAGAGGCTGGGAAATCACAGGAGGCTTCTGCAGTTGTCTGGGCAATGGTGGTGGGTTGGCCTGAGGAGGTGGTAGTGGAATGGAGACCCTGCTGCCGGATGACTTGAGGGAGAAGACGGCAGATCCCAGGTTTCTGCCTGGGGGCGACGGAAGTGGCGTTTACTGGGCTCAGGATCAAGGAAGAGGCAAGATCAAGGCGCTGCACGCAGAACGCACGAAGGGCCTGAGGACCTCCGGAAGCCCGAGAGCACACCGGCCCCCTCTGCTGGGGAACGGTTTCCGCCGGGAGCACAGAAGAGCGGACCGGAAGTGGGGACGGAAGTGCGTTGCGTTCGACCGCCAATTCTGAATTGGCTGACGGCTGACAACGCGGTGGAGGCGTTCTGGCTGGAGTCGGCAGAGTTCCTGAGATTCCCCGGTTCTGGAAGGCTCCCCGCGGAGACAAGTGAGCCGTGAGTCGCAGAGATCCTGTAACGGGGCCTTTACCAAGCGGCTCGCCGGCGACTTCCGAAACTACGGCTCCCGGCAGGCCCCGCGCCGCAGCAGTGGCTGGCTCGGGCCGGGCGCGCTGCGCTGCGTTCTGGGACTTGTAGTTCCCCGCGCCCCTGGGCTCTGGGCGCCGTGGCGTCTGCGGAGCCAGGCCTCGGCGGTGGTTTATGCGGCCGGAGGGTAGGGCCCGTGATTCAGCGTTTAGGCATCTGGTCTGTTAGTCCCAGTTTCCAGGCGAGACTCAGACCCAGAGAAGATGAGCGACTTGCTGAGTGCTGCACGCATTAGCACTGCAGGATACTCTCGCTACTTTGGCTACACTTGGTTGCCTACCTGGGCGGGATGGAGAATAGTCCCCAGCCAGCGGGGGCGGCACAGGGTTGGAGACCGGGGAGCACAGGGCAGGAGGTTTAGACACTCCACTCCACCCCAGGCCGAGAAGGGTGCTGCTAGGTTTTTAACTTTTCACGCTCTGTGGAAGTAACTGAATTATTGCAGGTAGAGCTTGTAAAACCGTGGCCAGCTTGGGCTCTTGTTATTTTTGTGAGCCTGGTCACCTCTTCCAGAGCAGGATGGAGTTGGGTGGGAGAACAAGGCAGGGCTCACTCATTTGCATCTTCACCCCCGCCCCTCTCCCCAAAGCTCCTTGTGATGGGCTGTAATAGGTTTGCCTTCTGACCTTCTCCACAGGGGGAGTTACTGAAATGCCTGGCAAGGTATGGTGTGGCCTGGTACCCCTGGGGGGCTGGCTGCAAATAGAGTCTTGTTGTCTTCCCCAAGTCTGCCATAGGGATTCTGCAGAGAACATTGTCTCCTAGTGCTACGTGCCAGCATCACTTACCTGGAGTGGCCGAGACCCTGAGATGTTCAGAGGGCGTTTTTGCTCACCAGCAAACAGCCTGCATCTCAGCCAACACCTGTGCCCTCCTGAGAAGAGTCTGATATGCCCAAGATAATCCTGAATGGTGTCACAGTGGATTTCCCATTCCAGCCGTACAAATGCCAACAGGAATACATGACCAAGGTCCTGGAATGTCTGCAGAAGGTAGAGCCGCCACCCTGAGGAATTTGTACCAGGAGAGGAGTCAGTGCGGGCGGAGCTTCAGCAAGGGCCGGATGTCCTTCTCCCCTCCTGTCCGTTTCAGCCGGGTCCTGCTGTGTGAAAGATAGCCTTAGTACTAACAAGTACTAACACCCTAGGTGGGGTGGGAGAGACCGTGAACAAAAGCCATAGTCCTTGGTGGTGATAGGCTTGGGAGTGCCTTGAGGGCCTCTCTGAGGAGGTGGCATTTAGGAAGCATTTCCGATACAGGGGCAGCTGGTATCCAGCCCTCACTTTGGGAGGTCTTTGAACCGCAGGGGTGTGCAGGGAGGTGGAAGTGGGGCAGGTGCTTTCTGCTGGGTTTCTTGAGGTGCCCTTGTACCCTGCTCACACTGCCTCCCCGAGTTTTCTGCTCAGGCTCCCATCTGAGAGCGCGTATGTAGGACATCAGATTCTGTTCAGATAGGACAGTGTAAACGTCTGGATCTAGAAACTCAGAACAATTTCCTATTTTGAGACTTGACACCTAATTAGTCATCTTACTATTTATATTAACATTTTAGGTAATGTTCTGCGAATTGTTTGCTAATGAGGGCTGAATTAACCCAGGGCCTTTGGGGTAAGAGTGGAAAGTATCGCGTGGACTTAGCCGCAGTCCCCTGGGGCTTTTGCCCCAGACAGTGGGCTGCGTATCTGCTGAGAGCTGCCCCACAAGCAGCCGGGGGCTTGTCTCGGGTGGGGTGCGTGGCGTCGCCTCTACCTGCTTCCTCACAACCCTGCTCCCAACTCCATTCAGAGAGTGAACGGCATCTTGGAGAGCCCCACAGGCACAGGGAAGACACTCTGCCTCCTGTGCACCACGCTGGCCTGGCGGGAACACCTCCGAGACACCATCTCTGCCCGCAAGATTGCCGAGCGGGTGCAGGGGGAGCTTTTCCTCGATCGGGCCTTGTCATCCTGGGGGAATGCCGCTGCTACTGATGGAGACCCCATAGGTGACCCTACTTCCCGGGGCTCTCCCCGCCTTGTGTGTGGGGCTGGAAGGGGAGGGATGGAGCTGGGGAGGGGCTGAGCCCCCTGGACTTCGGCCATCTCTCAGGCAGAGCTGGAGCAAGGAGGATTCTGTAGCTACCATATCATTTCTCCCCATCCTAGGTATAAGCCCAGGGTTGGGGCTTTTTGCTGAATTGGGGCACTGCAGTTATCCGTTTAGCCCATTTCTGGTACACCAGCCTCTGGGGTGTTAGATTCCTAGCCGCCTACAGGGCCGAGTTAGCCCAGCACTGCCTGTGTTGAGCCCACACGTGAGAACACTGTCTCAGACCATGACCTGTTGTGCCTCCTTGTGCCTGGGCAGCTTGCTACACGGACATCCCAAAGGTCATTTACGCCTCCAGGACCCACTCACAGCTCACACAGGTCATCGGCGAGCTCCGGAACACCTCCTACCGGTGAGCTAGGCAGGTTCACTCCTGCCTCAGGGCTGCCCAGAGGGACCTGGCGAGGTGCTGGGCCCACAGCCTGTGCTGCGTTGTGGACGATGACGTTCTTTCCGGCCCCACCTGAGAACTGCAGCGTGTGGATGCTCAGGGGTAGGGCGAGGCTGGGTTGTCCTCGACGCCCACCACACGAGAGAAAGCAGCTGTGTGTGTACATGTTGGCCTTGGGCTGGCTCCCTGAACTCCTGCCAGGTCTGTCGTGTCGGCCGTGGCGTGGGTCAGGACCAGCACCCCCGTGCGACTTCGCTTGTGGAGGGGAGGAGCCCTGTCCTGTCAGAGCTCAGCGAGTCTTGGTATCCTGCCCTGGTTCCTCTGCAAGGGAGCCAGGTGATGGGCACTGTGGAGCCCTTGAGGCCCGTCCCCCCTGCCCAGTCCCTGTCTTTCTCCTCGTCCCCTCCCGAGCTTGGGCTACGTTCCAGTTATGAGTCTCGCCGCCAAGTTTCCGGTGGGTCTCCATACAGCTGGACCACACTGTGGCCGTCTGCTCTTGGAGGTCATTCTTTCTCAGCCCTGTGGTTCTGTCTTCTGCCAGGCCCAAGGTGTGTGTGCTGGGCTCCCGGGAGCAGCTGTGCATCCACCCCGAGGTGAAGAAGCAGGAAAGCAACCATGTGCAGGTGGGCTCCAGGGTGCCTGCGCGGCCTCCCAGCCTCTGCCAGGCGGGTGTGCCCCAGGCCGTGCCCCAGCAGATGCTGGCTCCTGACCCCATACCCCCTGCCGGGCGGGGCTAGGGGTTAAGGGGCACCTGAGGGGCAGCAGGGCGGGAGCTGGTGGGGGGGTGGTTCTTGGCCATCGCTTGAGCCGTGCGCCCCGCTCTTCCTCCTGCAGATCCACTTGTGCCGCAAGAAGGTGGCAAGTCGCTCTTGTCACTTCTATAACAACGTGGAAGGTGAGAAGCCATTTGGCGAAGCCAAGGTTGGTACGGAGCAAGGGCTGAGCTCGGAGGTTCGTGACCTGCTTGCTCTTGCCCTGTGGGGTGGCCAGTGCAGCCGTGTCCTCGGCACCGTCTCCCAACTTGCTGGGTCCCCCATGTTAGCATTGAGTGCGGAAGAGCTCGCACGGAGGTCCGAGAACTGCCAGGGGCAGGCCTGGCCCCTGGGAACTGGGATTTTGGGGAGGCTCCCACTTCTTCCTGATAAGAGGCGCTCCCTGCACCTACACGCTTTGTACACGTGGTAGGGTGTATGCTGAACACCTGCTTTCTCTTCTGGGAGGCTGGACTTTTGGTGTGTGCCAGGCAGTAGGGTGCCCCCGTGACTAGCCCCTAAGTTGTTCTGCAAGACTCAACCGAGAGGGGATTCTGGAATCCAAGTCCGATCTCTCCCTGCATTCACGCCAAGCGTTTTCCCCTTTGCGGGCTTTGCCGTGTGCCCTTTGCTGTAGCAGGTCACAGCCCTGAGTGTGACTGTAGGCTGAGTCCTGGCAGTCCATCCTGGGGTGGCCTTGGGGCCCCGACAGATTGCCTCACCCAGAGATGGGGTGAGTGAGCACGGGGTTAGTGACAGCAGCCTGTCCCGGGCAGCTTACCATAGTAACCGCAGGCACCCACAGCCTGTGGAGGGCCCAGAGTGGGGGCCTGGCACCAGTGCCCTTTCTCCAGATCTATCTTTCTACCTACGTGGCCTCCCCTCCTGTTTGTCAAGGACTTCTGGGCTCATCTCAGGTACCCAGAGACGGGGCAGGGCAGCCTCGCTGTGGTGCAGCCCTTAGGGTTCCCTGTGCCCTGAGGGCAGCACGTCTGCAGTCAGAGCTGTGTGGCTCAGGGGGCTTGAGCTTCCCCGAGATCAGGCTTCCCTCTGTTTCCTGTCCCAGAGTGTGAGGGCTTGGGTGACACGGCCCTGGAGCACATACGGGGTGTCGGCAGTCTTGTGGGACAGTCTGCCCTGACGTTTGTTGAGAGTCCAGCGTGCTGGGGCTGAGGCCCTTGAAGCTGCCATTGCTGTTCAGGGTGGCACTCCCCTGCCAGAGGCCTGAGCTGGGCGGTCCCCCAGGACCCAGCACCAAGTGTCCATGTGCCTGCCCCGTGGAGAGACAGGGTGACTGCAGGGAGGACCCCAGCTCGCTGGGAGAGTGTTCCTTGTCGCCTTCTTGTTTGCCGTGTTTTGGCGTGGTGGCACTGATCCGAGATTGTCCAGGCCTGCCGGGCATCCAGAGAAGGGGCCATGTGCCTGTGCCCCCAGGTATCCTGGAGGGAGCCGCCCCTCCGATCTCAGCGATGCCTGGAAGACAGTCTGGGCCAGGTGTGCTGTTTGGGAACTCCCCAAGGCTGTCGTCCCCACTGTCCTTGCCCAGCTCCAGGAGGGAGCGCCTGCTGGGCGTCCCCAGGCCGACGCAGCAGTCTGTGGGACAGCAGGGAACACCAAGCAGGGGCTTCGTCAGCGGCTGCCCTGGACGAGGGCAGCTGTCCTGTGCCCGGCCGGTCCCGGCCCTGGTGGGGCGAGCACTGACTGCGTCTTGCAGCTGCTTCTGTCCACGTCGGGCCTGTGGGTGTCGGTCGCCCTGATGGTGTCCACTCCCTTCGCCTCGTCCACCCCTCTGCTTAAAGTCCTCCCACCCGAGTCCCGCCCTTGCACGGCGCCTGGCACCGCACGTGCGTGTTTGAGGAGCCATCCTCTCTGCCCCACCGCGGCTGCCTTCACCCACAGCCCTGGCAAAGCAGGTGGGGAGCAGGTGCCCTGTTTGCCTGTGCTGGGGGCCTTGGAGCAGCACTGCTGGGGGCCTTCAGCCAGCTTTCCACAGCCGCCTGTGCGTCAGCACGTGGGGCCTGTCAGCTTCCTCGCTGCCACCCGGCCCTCCCCCACAGGCCCTGAGCAGGCGGTGGCCAGGAACCCGAGGGAGGGGCTGGGAGCTAAGGGAGCTTTGGGCCCCCAGCGGCCGAGACCCCACTAGAGAAGGTGCGCGTGCCAGCCTCCTGGGCTGTGGACCCCACGCCCACTTCACGGCAGAGAGGAGGTCCTGTCCCAGCTGGCCTGCTGGCTTCCAGCTACATCCTTCTTCCCCTCAGCCCTGTGGGCTCAGTCCCGGAAGCCACAGACCAGTCCCCAGCCCACCCCCTTGGCTTGGGCTCTCTCGATGCCTGGCCTGCCCAGGGGTGGGGGTCGTTCAGCTTGGAGACCTGTCTGTCCCCGGTTTGGATGCGAGGGCAGGTCTCCAGCAGCTGCCCAGCCCTGGGTTGCAGCCCCAGGAGGGGCCCAAGGGGAAGGGAACGTGTATTTAGGGTGAGCAGGGGAAGAGCTGCAGCCCCGTGAAGACCCGGAGGTGGAGCAGTGAGCACAGGGCCGGCTGGGGCTGGGGCTGGGGCTGGGCCCCCACTTCTCGCCTGCCCCTCCTTAATCCCCACCCCACCCTGCTCTGCTGCAGAGAGTGCTGACTGGCCGTGTTGCTGAGGGGCAGCTCTTCCTCTCCGGCGTTCCCACTATTCCGGGGGTATTTGGGGCTGGTTCACTGCTGGTGTGTGTGTGTCTGTGTGTTCTGGCCTCTGCAGGCAGGGCTGGGCCTCATCCCGCCCCTGAGGGGCCTGGCACCTGCTGGGGCAGGCAGGATGCCGCCCTGAGGGAGCTGGGGAGACCCTGTTTCACACGTGGCTTCCCTAAGACTCCAGGGCGCTTGTTAGGAAAGGCTCTGGCCCTGCCTGCCTGTGTTTAGGCGGCTCCGCAAGTGCTTCTGGTCGTTCTAGTCTGGGGGTCTGTGCCGAGGGGGAGGGGAAGGACAGCCCCCACCTCCTCGAAGTCCTCTCTGGCTTGGGCCTCACAGCCACCGCAGGTAGTGCCTGGTCTTGGGGCTGCCATCCTGAGGAAGGGGAAGGGCCACTACTCAGCTTGTGGGCAGGAGGAGAGGGGCCTGGCCCCCACTGGGATCAAAGGGCGGGTGGGCTCTGCCTCAGCGCCCCTGCCTGTGCCCTGGCCTGAGCCTGGCTGTCCTTTAGGTGGAAACTTTGGGCCTGCTTCAGTTGGCAGGGAGCCAAGTGACGGTGCCGCAAGTTACAGGACTTGGGTGCCTCTGTGGGCTGGGGTGACAGGCTGAGGGGCTGCTCTTCCCCATCCCCCAGAAGGCCACTCTTGTCCCATCTTGGGGCTGTCTGTGGTGGAGAGGATGGATGGGACCCTTGGGATGTTGGTTCCATCTGTGATCGACCCTTGCCTGGGTCGAGCCTGGGCCCTTGCCTGCCTCCTGGGTTGCAGTGCAAGGCTCCCTGGGGATTACTTGGGCCGGGGGCTGGGGGGCCTTTGCTAGGGGCCTGAGAGCCCAGATGGGTTCTCCGTGGTGCGTCCACAGGTGGCAGACAACTCACACTACCCTCTGTGTGGGAGCCTTTTTGTCCCGGGCATCCCCCTAGGGTCTGGGCGACTCACGATGGGCCCTGAGAGTGTGTTTACTCTTGCCTGGTGCCCGCAGGGAAGAGCCTGGAGCAGGAGCTGGCCGCCCCCATCCTGGACATCGAGGACCTGGTCAAGAGCGGGAGCAAGCACAGGTGAGGCTGAGGCCTTTGAGTCCGTCCACAGCCGGACTCCTGTGATGTGTGGAGGCACGGATGTGTTTCCTTTCTTTTTTTTGATCTTATTTGAAAAAATTGGGGTTTTTTTGAGACAAGGTGTCGCTCTGTTGCCTAGGCTGGAGTGCAGTGGCTCACAGCTCACGGCAACCTCGCACTCCTGGGCGGAGCCTCCCACGCAGCTGGGACTACAGGTGCGCACCACCGTGCCCAGCTAATTGTTTCATTCTGTGTACAGACGGGGTCCCACTGTGTTGCTCAGCCTGGTCTCAAACTCCTGGCCTCAAGTGATCCTCCTGCCTCAGCCTCCCGAAATGCTGGGATTATAGGCGTGAGCCACTGCGCCCGGCCTGTCCACCTTTATAGCTTCACGGATTGAAGTTGTGATCAGAAAGAGTTTCTTACATCGAGGGAAAATGTTGTACTTTTTTTAGTGCTTGTATGTTTTTTTTCCTAATGACCTCTATCTAGGAGTAGGATTGAGGTGTGTTTGGTTTTTTTTTTTTGCATAGAGTTTTATTTTATTATTTTTTTTGAGACAGAGTCTCTCTTTGTTGCCCTGGCTAGAGTGAGTGCTGTGGCATCAGCCTAGCTCACAGCAACCTCAAACTCCTGGGCTCAAGCAATCCTCCTGCCTCAGCCTCCCGAGTAGCTGGGAATACAGGCATGCCCCACCATGCCCGGCTAATTTTTTTTTTTATATATATTTTTAGTTGTCCAGATAATTTCTTTCTATTTTTTTTAGTAGAGACGGGGTCTCGCTCTTGCTCAGGCTGGTCTTGAACTGCTGAGCTCAAACAGTCCGCCCGCCTCGGCCTCCCAGAGTGCTAGGATTACAGGCGTGAGCCACCGCGCCCGGCCTGCATAGAGTTTTAAAATAGGTGGTACATTCACATGGTTGAAAACTCAGGTGGACTCCCTGCCCGTCCGACACCAGCTTCCTGCCAAGGTCCCACGGGCAGGACCAGGGCTCCTTCCTGGCCAGAGGATGTGATGGCCCTGAGCAGTGGCTGTGCCTCCTGGCACCCTGCGTGGGGTGCTCACAGCACCTTCTCTCCTCAGAGTGTGCCCCTACTACCTTTCCCGGAACCTGAAACCGCAAGCTGACATCATCTTCATGCCGTACAATTATTTGTTGGATGCCAAGGTGAGGACTTCGTCTCGTGCAGCTGATATTCCTGCTGTCAAGAGAATGACCGGGCTCAGGAGGGGCCATTCAAGCCTTTGCTGGTTCAGGCCCTTAGAGCAGCAGGCGTGGGTAGAAGGACCCACCTTTGTCACTGGTTAGGGGCTCAAAACCTGGCCAGATGCAGCTGTGAACGGCCAAGGCCATGGGTCAGTCCTGAGTGGCCTGGGAGTGGGCAGGCTGGTGGGAGTGAGGAGATGCTTGGGCTGCAGCCCACAGACCAGGGCCCACCCTTGGCCCCGGCAGCTCAGCTTAGCGTCTCTCAGGTCAGGCAGCGGGAGGTGCAAGGAACTCGGGAGCCCTGAACACCCTCTGCTCCTGTCCTGCTTGTGCTGTGTTTATCCTCAGGCTTTCGTGCCCCTGCTTTCATGTAGCGCAGGTGGGATCACGCCCTGCGTGTTTGGCAGCTTTTACTGTCACGCCATGGTGACGTTGTGGGTGGCGTCCTTTCCAGATCCCTTTGTTCATTCCTTCCTTCCTGTGGTGGGTATTTATGAAGAGCCCACTGTGCTGGCTCAGCACAGCCGGCCTCTCTGGAGTGGGGCTTTGATTCCGGGGGGCAGACAGACAGGAGTAAGCACCTGAGCTGTTGGCATTGAAGGGCCGTGAAGGGAAACGGAGAGGGGTGGGGCAGGGGTGGCGCCAGGAGGCGGGATGCTGAGGGGCCCAGGGTTGGAGAGAAGCCCAAGGGAGGTGCCTGTAGGGTTGGAGCAGGGGTGGATGCTGGGGCGATTGCAGAGCCCTGTGGGAGGTAGCCGTGCCCTGGAGAGCAATGTCAGGTTTGGGACACCGCGCGCTGGTGAGCTTCGCCGCGGTTGGCAATTCTTCTAGCTCAGTGCCGACTTCTGGTGGGAACCCACTGGAGAGCTTCTGAAAACACAGGGCCCTGCCCTGGAACAATTGTGTCATAACCGATAAGCTGATTCTGATGTTTCCGTGGAAATGCAAAAGCTTTAAAAGAGCTTTGAAGAAGAATGAAGTTGGAGGGCTTGTCCTCCCTGGTTTCAAGGTGACTCGAAGCTGCAGTGCCAGGGCTGGGTGCCCTGGCTCAAGGATGCACACACAGCAGGGAGCAGACAGCCGTCCACACAGACCCACACGCAGTGGTCACTGGTCTCCACCAAATATGCCAAAGTCATCCAGTGGGGAAAGGAAAGTTGGTTTTGGTTTTTCAAAAAATGGTGCTGTAATAGCCGGAGGTCCATTTGCAAGAGGACACCTCATTCCTCATACCACGCTGTAGACACCTCAGTGGAAAGCTAAAACTGCACGTTCTGGAAGGACCATGGGGGAGGTCTTTGCAACTTTGGGGTAGGCTGAGATTTTTTTTTTTTTTTTTTTGAGACAGAGTCTCACTATGTTGCCTGGGCTACAGTGCCGTGGCGTCATCCTAGCTCACAGCAACCTCAACTCCTGGGCTCAAGCGATCCTCCTGCCTCAGCCTCCCGAGTAGCTGGGACTACAGGCATGCGCCACCAGGCCCGGCTAGTTTTTTCTATGTATTTTTAGTTGTCCAATTAATTTCTTTCTATTTTTAGTAGAGACGGGGTCTCGCTCTTGCTCAGGCTGGTTTCGAACTCCTGAGCTCAAACAATCCGCCTGCCTCGGCCTCCCAAAGAGCTAGGATTACAGACATGAGTCACCGTGCCCGGCCATAGGCTGAGATTTCTTAGGTTGGACACGCAAGGCCTCAGCCATAAAGAAAAAATTCCAAAACTGGACTATACCAAAATTTAAAGCTTCAGCTCTTTGAAAGGGTTAGGAAAGTTAAGAAAATCAAAAGGCAGGAGAAAATGCTTCTGTGCTTTTGTCTTTCAAAGGACTTTTCTTCTTGTTCTTTTTTTGTTGTTGTTGAAACAGAGTCTCACTCTGTTGCCCGGGCTAGAGTGCCGTGGTGTCAGCCTAGTTCATAGCAACTTCCAACTCCTGGGCTCAAGCGATCCTCCTGCCTCAGTCTCCTGAGTAGCTGGGACTACAGGTGTGCGCCCCAACACCTGGCTAATTTTTCTATTTTTAGTAGAGACGGGGTCTCACTCTTGCTCAGGCTGGTCTCAAGCTCCTGAGCTCAAGCGATTTTCCCTCCTTGGCCTCCCAGAGTGCTGGGATTACAGGCGTGAACCACGGCGCCCGGCCTCAAAGGACTTTTGACCAGAGTGTGTAAAATGCTGTCATAACTAAACAAACAACCCAGTTAACCTCTGGGAAAAGATCCGAACGGACATTTCACCAAGATTGTTGAAATGCCCAGTTTGGCATGTGGAAAGACTGCCGGCATCACTGGGGACCGGGAAGACGCAGATTAGAACCACGACGAGCTAATACTGCATTCCCACTAAAATGAATAAAGTTAGAGAGACTTAAAATAAATGTTGGGTGGGGATGTGGAACACCTAGAAATCTCGTCCTTTGCTGGTGCGTGTGTGGAATGGTGCGGCTGCTCTGTACACAGGTGCCACACGGCCCAGCCCCAGAGGGTCCGGCGCGGAGGACTCTGGTGCTGGAAAGGGCAGGGAGGGCTGGTGGCTACACAGCACACACGTTTCTCAAAGCTCAAACGTGTGCCTGAAATGACTGTTTTGTTTTATGAAAATTAAGCTTCCAATTAAGTTAAGAAAAACACCAAAGCTGGACCCCACCCCAGGTTGCTTCCGTCACACTCCGGTGGGGGAGCTGCGTGTTGGATTTTAGGTCTCCCTGAGTGTGTGCCGTGGTGGAGAACCGCGAGGCCTGGACCTCCTTGGCTCCTCCATTTCTGTGGCTGCCGACTGCTGTGGTCTGGGGCTCCTTGGCCATCTCTCTGACCATGGCACTGCCCCTTTGTCCCGTGCGCGTGTCTGCCCGGGACAGATGCCCGATGTCAAGTTGCTGGTTCACGCTGGGCAGGCATGGCCAGGCTGCTGTCCCGAACCAGCCTTGGCCAGCTGCACTCCAGCAGCCTGGTGTGAGGGCCTCGCCCACATCCTCCCCGGCAGTGTTTGTGGTCCGTGCTTGTGATGTTGGTGCCTGCCTTGTGCCTCTGTCCCTTTTCCCTGCCCTCCGCTCTTCAAGCCTGCAGTCTGTGGGCCCCTGTCCTGCTCCACTCCAGCCCTTTGTCCCTTTTTGTAGAGTCGCAGGGCGCACAACATTGACCTGAAGGGGACAGTCGTGATCTTTGATGAAGCTCACAATGTGGTGAGTCTCCACTGGCCTCTGTCCTGCACGCCACTATTTCTCCTGGCCTTGCTGAAACCAACACAAGCCCTTGTGAATGAGCTCTGTCCAAACCTGAGGCCCTGGGCTTCCGAACAAAGCCCACCCAGGTGTGCCTGCTGCCCCTCCCGCTGGTCAGATGCCTCTCTGGGGCTGGCCAGCCAGGCTGAGGATGTGCCCCTCACCAAACCCTTTCCTTCCGGCTGGCTGGTGGGACCAGCCTGGCCTGGGGCTCTCTCCTCTCCCTGTTCTGTCACCAGGATGACCACAGGCCCGTCATCTTTCCTGCAGTGTCCCTGAGCCTGGGAGGGCTGCTGTGGAGAGCCATAGTCACGCTCCCACACCGGCACCTGCCCTGCCCCTGCGGCCACTGCTCAGGGCCGTGTGCTCCCAGGAGTGTTGCCGGAGGGTGACTGCTTGCGTCCTCTGTGCTCAGCTGCTCTGGAGCCTGGGTGAGGCTCCGAGGGAGCCCCGGCCTCTCGCTGCAGGGCCTGGTGCCTAGGACCCCATGTGTCCCCCCTCTGTCCCACTCACTGCTGTGGGAGATGATGGGCCAGGTCTTCTGAGTTCTGAGAGAAGACAGAAATCTAGATTTTAATTGGGAGTTTTACAATTAAGAAATGTTGTCAACTCGAGTAAAATGGTCATTTTTAAACATTGGCATGGGCCAGACGGTCATCTCCAGACCCACTTGTGACGTGGCCCTGGAGACCACAGGGCTTTGGAAGACCTCGGGGCGTGGCTCTGGGGACCTGGTGCTCAGCTTCCTGCCCCGCTACATGTGACGTGGGCGCCTGTGCTCTCAGGAGAAGATGTGCGAGGAGTCAGCATCCTTCGACCTGACCCCTCACGACTTGGCTTCGGGACTGGACGCCATAGACCAGGTGCTGGAGGAGCAGGCCAAGGCGGCGCAGCAGGGCGAGCTGCGGCTGGAGCTCAGCGTGGACTCCTCCAGCGCAGGTGAGTTTCCGGCCGGGAGCCGTGGGGCTGGAGCCCCCGTGCAGCTGTGTCTGGACTCGCGGTGCCTTTTGAGGGAACCCTTCAGGACAGCGTTGGCTTCTTAGCTGAGGATGGTTCAGGGTCCCTAGACCTGGGAAGGACTGGTATCATCCAGTAGTTCTGACGTTTTCTGAAGACCTGCATCCTTTCCCACCCAGTACTGACCTCCTCTCTGCCGTGTAAAACCAGGAAACCAAGTGCACTCGCTGTAAACGTGTTAAACAGCCTGCGCGTCTGCCGCCAGGCATGGCTTGCTAGTCCCAGAGATTCCTGCCCAGTTTTTGTCCAAAGCATACTTTTACACAGTAATCACGGAATACGTTTATGGATGTGGTTAATTCGTCCATAGTTTCTACAAAGCCTCTGTTGACAGCTGACTAGGAGTCCATATTTGCTCAGCTGATATGATATTAATAATCTAAAGAAACCTGTTTTATAAGCAACAAAAGTCTACCGAATTCAAGTTACGCACATTGAGTGATCAAATCTCTGGGGAGGCCTGAATGTTGAGACCTGGGTCCGTACGCGTTGGCGTTAACCGCTGTACCGTGGCGTCCAGTGGCGGCCTTTCCACAGCCTTGTCTGTTGAGCAGAAGCACATGAAAACGTCCCAGCGTTGGGCATTCAGTTCTCTCCGGGACACACTTGCCCTTCCTGTTGTCTGACCACATAAACCAAACTCTCGTGACCTTTCTTCACTGATGGCTTTGGGTCTGTCGATCTTACTCCCAAGAATCAGGAAGGCACATCAGCAATGGTTTCGTCTCATCAGGGATCCGGTTCTTCTTTTGACTCTAACAGCCTCCCGTGGGCTTCGCAATCCGCCAGCCACGTCAGGCAGCGATAGCAGGAAGGTGGTTTTCCCACCCTCTTCGAGCTTGAGCGTGTCCACCCGGATCCAAAGTTGTGGAAGTCGTGCCAGCAGTGGTCAGTTCTTCTGGCGTGGGGTGTAATGTTGGGACGTGTCGTCCAAGTCTGTCATCTTTTGGCATGTCTGCTCTTCCTCTTTTTAACATTTGCTGAGTTTTAAGTTTCTTTTCCACCATTCATCTTATTTATTTATTTATTGTTTATTTTCAAGACGGGGTGTCGCTCTGTTGCCAGGGCTGGAGTGCAGTGGTGTGATCATAGATCACCGCAACCTTCAGCTCCTGGGCTCAAGCATCCGCCTGCCTCAGCCTCCCGAGTAGCTGGGACTACAGGCATTCACCACCACATCCGGCTAATTTTTCTATTTTTATTAGAGACGGGGTCTCGCTCTTGCTCAGGCTGGTCTCGAACTCCTGAGCTCAAGTGATCCTCCCTCCTCCGGCCTCCCAGAGTGCTAGGATTACAGGAATGAGCCACCACCCTTGGCCTACCATTTATCTTTTATCCCCCTCTTAGGATACGTTTTTCTGTGTATTTATATACCTCACATACCAGATGATGTTATGATTTTTGCTTATGACCATTAAGCAATTAAAAAAAGAAAATAATTGTTTATTAAATTTACCCAGATATTACTAGCTGTGGTGGCTCATACCTATAATCCCGGCGACGTGGGAGGTTAAGGTGGGAGGGTGGCTTGAGGCCAGGGCTTCAAGACCAGACTGGGCAACATAGTGAGTACAAAAAATAAAAAAATTAGCTGGGCATGGTGTGTGTGCCTGTAATCCCAGCTACGTGGGAGGCTGGGGCTGCAGCGAGCTGTGGTGCATGACTGCACTGCAGCCCGGCAACAGGGCAAGACCCTGTCTCAAAAAAAATTGCTTTTTTTTTTTTGTTATATTATGGGGGTGCAAATGTTTAGGTTACATATATTGCCTTTGCCCCACCCAAATCAGAGCTTCAAGCATGTCCGTCCCCTAGACGGTGTGCACTGCACCCAGTAGGTGTGAATATACCCATCCCCTCCTCCCCCACAACCTGCCCGACACCCGATGAATGTTACTACTATACGTGCACTTAAGTGTTGGTCAGTTAAGTCAGTTAATACCAATTTGATGGTGAGTACCTGTGGTGCTTGTTTTTCCATTCTTTTGATACTTCACTTAGTAGAATGGGCTCCTGCTCTATGCAGGATAATACAGGAGGTGCTAGATCACCATTGTTTTTGTGGCTGAGTAGAACTCCATGGTATACATATACCACATTTTATTAATCCACTCGTATATTGATGGGCACTTGGGTTGTTTCCACATCTTTGCACTTGTGAATTGTGCTGCTATCAACATTCGAGTGCAGATGTCTATTTTATAGAATGTCTTTTGTTCTTTTGGGTAGATGCGCAGTAGTGGGATTGCTGGATC